TTCATGGCAAGACACTCTGACCCTGGAAGAGACGCAGGGAATGGAATTCTCATATCCTGCTGTTATCCAGGCTAGTGATGGATTAGTTCACATCACTTACACGTATAATCGGACCCAGATTAAGGTAAGAATGTAGTTTCTGATACAAGAAATAAATCAATTCATTCCCTTGATTCATTTTCTCCAGGAAATTCATTTCATTTTAGTTGTCTACTACTGCTTTTTCCTCTCGCTGATTAACTTTAGCTGACATTTTGCAGCATGTTGTTCTTCAACCAAATTGACCCAGTGACTTGTATACCTCTGTCAGCCAGAAAAATAAGAGGCATCTTTTCCTCGCAACCTGTGTTTCAGAGCCTTGTGTATAACCATCTTAAAGCTACCTGTAACCCCTTTTCATTATTGAAACCATCTGCTAGTGCCATAGCTTTGATATCGAGTTGAATTCCAAGCACTTAAAAAAATGAGCAGATTCATCCCAAGGATAAGCTTTCAAGCAGATTCAAGGACAACTATTTTGATGAACTACAGCATCATTTGCATTTCTTTGAAGATCCTTTGTAGGGCATTAGGCCTCTCTCAACAGAAGTATCATTTTAAGTGCCATTCATATGAGGATAGTCTGTACTTAACTCTTTTTTTAAAAAAAAAAACTTATATAAAAAGAATAGCAATTGTAGTGAATTTTATGCTTATTTTTTTGCACATTCTTAGTTTTGTGCAGCAAAATATAAAGATGTTCTGAGAAATAAGAGTACTGAGAATCGGAATAATGTCATGCTTCAAAAGGCAAACAATTATATAAGTTTGTCTTTCCACATCAAGTAATTACAACGTTTTTGATTACCAAAAGGGATGCCGGATGAAAGATCGACTTTCTCTACAATGACGTTGCCGTTGCAATCAATTTTGTAAGAGAAGTCCAGTCCATCCAAAATCAGGTGATAAATTATCTCTCCAGAAGGAGCCAGCTCGCTTCCATGCCCAGAAGCTTCTCCATCTTCAAAATCATTCATATCTGAAGTGTTATCTGAGGTGTCACCATTTCCTATCTTTATGAGAGTATCATGAGGTCGAGTTCTTTGAGACACTGATCGAATATCCCAAGAAAGCACTTGTTTGACCAAGCTTTTAAGCTCCTCTGGTGATGAATAGAGGGAATTCTTCGCCTGAAACAAACCCATTCTTTTGGATCAACAAATAGCTTCCTACCCATTCAAAAAACAAAAATTCTTGCAGACAAACAACAAACAGATTAAGCATTTCAGATTGGACACCTGGATCCTACATCATCAAGCTTTGTATAGAACCACAGGAAAACACCAGCATTACTTACCGCTGCTTTCCAGCAGTCCAGGAGTGAGGAAAGGAAGTCATCAGAGAAGCTAACAGAAGCAACTGATAACATACTGTCCACCTGAGCAAAATTTAGGCATACTCCATAAGAAATTGAAGGCAGAAGCACATGATGAGATTCATGGAAAAGGAAAGATGGAGGGTGGCATAGTTTGCTAACAGTTAAACCAGTCGATGAGCAACTAAATGGTTAAAAGAACTTCAGTTCTTTCTCAAGTATTTATGACTACATTGGGGCATATTTTTCTTAGCAAATTTGGATTACTAGAAAAGGAAGAAATTACCGAAACAATAGACAGAAAAATGATTTTAGTGAAATTCAATTTTCTTCTGTTGTTTAGACTTGAGACAATAATGAAAAAGAGAAAAAACAAATGATTTAACTATAATGGAGTTTTTCACCCTTATTTTCAGTATATTTATAGGACATACTCATAAAATCCTTTAGTATTACTTAACTAGTCTCATGTCTCTCAAAATCTCTTTACTCATGGAGAGAAATGAAAAGAAAGACCGCATGAACATTTGACATGATAGGTTCTCTTCTCTTCTCTTCACTTCTATCTTCAATTAGCAAGCCATAGAGACTACATTTTGGTTACTAATATATAATCTCTTCGGAATTAATAAAATCATCTTATAGGGAACTACATCACATATGAAGCCATGAAAGTAATCTAATACAAGTAGTACAATTGCTTTACCATGTGAAGCAATGCAAGTAACCCAAAACAAGTGACAAAATTTGTAACACCCCATACTTTAATAAATGGTCAATGGGCTTAATTATGGATAATTGAGAAGAATTAAAGTCGAACATAATATTATTAACCACAAGATGGTGGAAGAAAGTGTTTAGAACAAAATAATACTCATGCGATTAAATAATATTAAAATAATATTATTTTATTGAAAGGCGCATTAGTGGAATCAAAAGGTGATATGGAAGTAAATTGGGACCAATTGAGATGTTAGAAGCCTTAGAAGGTGAGCGAAAATTTTTGAAATAAAATAATATTATTATAATATCAAAGTAGTATAGATGCCACTTTGATTATGTCACATGAAGAATGTGTGAATTGCACACTAGACTAAGAGGGAGAGTATATGTGGTGAGTAAATACATATGTGATGTACATATAATAAATCAACTAAAGTATATAAATAATATTATATTATAAAGTAATATAATTATAAAATTACATGTGCATAAAGATTATGTGATAAAATTTTATAGAACATTGTTGCATGGAGTGTGGCCAACCCTGAAGGAACCAAATTGGTATAGAAATCTAGAGAATAAGACAAAAAGAGCATAATGTCATCATGCATGTGTGTAAAGAAAAGATGCACATAGAAAGATTTAACAAGTAAAAGAAAGTGTGCATGAAATCCCATTGACTAGAGGTAGCGGTAAGGAAAAGATTAAAATCAAATAGAAAAAAACAAAAGAGCTCATATAGAAAGGAAAGGAATTTGATGCATGAAAATTTATTTGTTGTATGGATGTCATAGAAAGAGTGGAGAAGTGCGATTTCCATGCAAATTTATTGAGAGACAAAGGTGGCTAAACAGATAAGGTAAAGAAAAGAATTATAGAGAATGAAATAAGATTTGAAAACATGACGAATTTCGTGCACTTTTCACAAAATTAAAAATATTTGACTATTTTTCTTCAAGCAACCCGTGAGCATCCTTCTTCCTCTTTTCAACAAATTGACAATTCTCTCAAAATTCTATACAGTAAAAACTATTAGGTTTGAAGCCTCTCCATAAAGTGTGAAACTTTATTATTATTTCTAAAAAGACTCGAGCTTGTAAAGCGATATTTAACATTTGATTTGAAGGTTACAACAAGAAAAATGTAAAAAGAAATTTGATCTTTAGTTTACTAGTTTCTCAAAGAAAGAACCAATAAAATAAATAATGTTTTAATGCTTGAAAGCATGCTAGTCGAATGTGTCAAGTAATGTTATTTTTAAAATGTGCTAAGTAACTATGTATATTGATTGTTGGGAAGTTGCCTAAATTGCAATTATTGAGTGGTTTTAGCATCAAGAGGAAATGAAAAAAATTGAGAAGAGCTGCTAAACCAAGTGTTTGGTACAAGTAAAAGCCATTGGAAAAAAAATTAAAACCAATGCTCATTTGAGCATGATTGAGGATGCAAAAGCTTGTTGAAAATTCCTTAGTAAAGCCATCTAACGTTAGAGGAGCGGACCGTATTATTAGTCAAGTATATATCTCACCAAGTTAAGGCGAGTAGAGCTTACCTATGCTATATTAAATATATATATATATATATATATATTCATTGATTGCACTTGTGAGAAACATGAGTTTTTTAAAACGATTAGGAACATGAGTTTTTAAAAGCGATTAGGATGATTGTTATGATGCTAAATGTTTATAAATTATTTTTCCTACGATGTATGTATACAATAAATGTTTTAGAAAAATTAGAAAACAAACTCTTCTCTACAGATTTAACTCAAAACATGCTTTGCAAGTTGTTTGTGATCGTGATATTTTAAATTTGCATATAAACATACTGAAAACCGCAATTCCTTTGCCATGTAGAATCAATAATGTCCATGTATATTCTTGAGTTATGAAACTTTAAATAAAGCATGCTGAAAATCGCTAATCCTTGTTCAATTACTTTATTCAACTTACCATGGTACGTGTAAAACAATTTCAATACATAATTCTCATAATATGTACTCATACTAAAAACATTTGAAAAATCCTTTGCCATGTAGTAAACAAATCTAAACTGTTACCATGCCCTGTTCAACATTTAATCAAATATAAGATATTCGTTCCCAAGTAAGTCTCAAGCCCGTAGGCCCTCTTCCATGTAATAAATGTACCCAACTACACTAACCCATGGCCTTAACCACGATATAAAAATTTGTGGTCTTGCCACGTAATATAAACCTGAGGATCTTGCCCTATATCGTATGCTTCGGGGTACTTCTCCCTACATTCAACGTACTACATTAAGGTTCTCCCCCTACATTCAACCTATTACATCAGGAGTTCTTCCATTACATAGATCATGCTAGCTAACAGATACTTTGTGCGCAAAGGTCACACAGCCTAGTGTGACAGTAGACCTACCATCAAGCATCTCACTCATAAAATCATCAATCTCCATGTTAAAACCAAGTTATGCCAGAATAGTAGGTATCATACCTTTAATTCAAATAAATAATTCCATATCAAATTTTTCTTAGACATAACGTAACATTCAAGCACCATTCTGTTTCATAAAATAATTTTTCAAAATCTTTATAAAAATACATTTCAAGCATGATTTAAAACCCAAAACTGTATACTCATTTAAAGAATAAAATAAATGTCCCATTTTAGGGTAATTTCCGTAAACGATACTTAAAATCCATCCCAAAACCATTCACGTGCACGGAAAATCTTGTGCAAACATAAGATAACATCATCATAAAACGCAAAAACGTATGTGCACACAAATTGTTTTATTGAAGCATGATGGGGTATATAAAAATAACACACTTGTTCGAGTTTATGATAAAATGAAAGCAATACATTTCATAAGCACGTTTATATGCAGATTCAAAGCATCATGATCACAAACAACTTGCAAGGTATATTTGGAGCTAAAACAGTACAAAAAAGCTTGTTTTCTTTTTTTTTTTTTAAATCTTTATTGTATATACTTATATTCATAGTAGGGAAAACAATTTATAAATATTTAGCACAATCACAATCATCCTAATTGCCTTTAACAACCCATGTTTTCCACAAGTTCAATCAATGAACATAAATATATGTATTTAACATAGCATAGGGAATATAATCTTTAAAATAGATATGCCTCACTGACCTTAACTTGGTGGGATTTGTACTTCATCAATAACACCGTTTGCTCCTTTAGCGTTAGATAACTTTACTAAGGACTTTCCAATAAGTTTCTGAATCCCCAATTCTGGACAAACGAGCATTTGTTTCAATTTTTTTTCCAACAACTTTTACTTATAATGAACACTCGGTTCAATAGCTCTTCTAAACTTTTCTCATTTACTCTTGATGCTAAGCCACTCAATAAACATTAGAACTAACTCGATTCAGACAACTTCCAAACAATCCATATACACAGTTTCTTAGCAGAATTTGAAAACCACATTACTTGACACAATCAGCCAGCGTACTTTCAAGCACTAAAACCTTATTTATTTTATTCATTCTTTCTTTGAGAAACTAGTAAACTAAAAACTAAATCTCTTTTTACCTTTTCCTTGCTGCAACCTGTGAACCAAATGCTAAATATCTCTTTACAATCTTTTGAGTCTTTCTAAGAATAACAATAAAGGTTCACACCCCATGGAGAGACTTCAAACCTTTTGATTTTTACCATATAACACTTTGAGAGAATTGTCAATTTATTAAAAACAGGAAGAAGGATGCTCACAAGTTGCTTGAAGAAAAATAGCCAAATGTTTCTAATTGTCTGAGAAGTGGGCAGAATTCTCTATGTTTCCAAGTCCTATTTCATTTTCTATATTTCTTTTCTTTACCTTATCCGTTTATCCACCCTTGTCTCCCAATAAATTTTCATGCTTCAAGTTCCTTTCCTTCCTATTTGGCCTCCTCCTCTAATGACATTACATGCAGCCCATAAGTTGTTCCTTTTATTTGATTTCTAATCCCTTCCTTGCCATCACTTCTAATAAATGGGATTTCATGCATACTTTTCTTTTACTTGTCAAATCTTTGCATGTGCACTCTTTCTTCAGAAACATGCATAATGACATCATATTCTTTTTGTCTTTTCTTCTTTTTCTTTAAATTTTTATACCAATTTGGTTCCATCATGGCCAACCACACTCCATGCAACAATGTTCTCCTATAAAATTTTATCATGTGATCTTTATTCACATGTAATTTTGTAATTATATTACTTTACAATATAATACTAATAAAATATTATTCATACACTCTACTTGATTTATTATGCATGCATCACATATGTATTTACTCACTATGCATACTCATCTTCTTAGTCTAGTAAACAATTCACATATTTTCACATGACGTAATCAAATCAGCATCTATACTAATTTAATATTATAATAATATTATTTTATTAAAACAAAATATTATTTTATTTTAAAATTTTTCACTTGACTTCTAGGCCTCTTAACATCTCAATTGACCCCAATCTACTTCCATATCACTTTTTGGACTCCACTAATTCATCCTCTATAAAATAATATTATTTAATCGAGTGTATTATTTTATTCTAAATGTTTCATTCCACCATCTTATGATTAATAATATTATATTCGACCTTAATTCTACTCAATTATCTATAATTAAGCTCAATTGATTATTTATTACATTGCGGGGTGTTACAAGTCCCACTCCATTGTTTGCAATCTTTGCTTTTCATTTTTTTCTTGCTTCTAGCTGATCATGCACCTACACAACATATATTAAAACACCAAGACATGCACCCGCAAATCTCATTCCTTGTGCCGTAGACATACATCATGCAAAATATGTTCATGCGCTAAAGACAATTTTTTTTTTCTTTTTTCATCTCTTTGTTGGTTTTTGTGTTGAGGACTTTTAAAGAGAAACATTTTCCTTTTTTTTTTAATAAACCATACCTACTCTTGTGCATGGAAAAGTCCTTGGTTCTCATCAAAGGAATTTCCACGTAGGGAGTAAAAAGGTGAGAAACCTAAAATAACGATAAAACAATGAACTACCACGCGCAAAATAATTTCGTGCATAGCAATATTGCTTGCAGAAACATCGCACACATGACAATGTTACACAGTAGCTCCACAGCAATGAGCAAGCAAACGAGTGAAACAAAGTGGAGAAGGCCTATACCATATACCTCCAAGCCATGAGATTAATTTTACTTTATCTTTATACTTTATTTCATTTTAAGTCTACCCTACAACCAATGCATGAGAATCTCTTCTCCCAAGTATCCTCATGCAAGGGCAAAATGTAGATACTTGATATTGTTTACTAATATATCATCCTTTTATAACTAGTAAAGTTGTCTTACAAGGAATTACATCATCACATGAAATAGTGAAAGTTATCCAAATCAAGCGCTAAAGTCTTTATTGCATGAAGCAATGGAAAAAACCAAAAACAAGTGACATGGTTATTTTATTGTACGGATGTAGTGGAAGTCACTCTAAAATGAGTGGTCGGGCTTTTAAGATGTTCCAAAGAGTTAAGCTTGGTGGCTCAGATATGGAAATAGTTAAAAAGTCTTACTCTTGACCTTTCCCTACTTCTCCCTTTTAGTACAAATAGAACACTTCCAGTTGTGCTATCACAAAACTTAGAACAACCCCCCATGGCCCAGGTAACCTCTGTATTCACTAGAAAAGGGCTTTAATACCTTGCCAATCGGCATCTTCTCATTGGTTGCATTCATTGCACCTTTGGCCTATATATATTGGTTTTTGCAATTCATTTGGTGGGCTTTTGGCTTTTTTTTATTCTCTCTCTAAGTTCACTCTCTACAATCTCCTCCCTCATTGTTCTCTACATCCCTCTCATCCTTTATTCTTCCAAACTTCCCTACTTCCTATTCCCCGTATCTTGTTCCACCACCTACCACAACACTAGGTACTTCAAAGTTTGCTCCAATCTCTCTCTTTGTCACGCTCAACACTCCTATTTTAGTTGTTTCCAAAACTACCTCTTCCTCTTCCAGAAGAACCTTTTTACACAATTCATACAAGAGAAATTCAATAACTTCTCTCCATTTCACCACTCTCAACTTACAACAATGCAAACATGATAACAGTATAAATGTTCTTCGACTTTCTACTTATATGCTAATGAATCTAATTTAGTGTCTACAACATAACTAAAAGAATAGCAACTCCAAGCTTATCAAATATTAATGGTTCTGCTCTTAAAGACACATCCATATCTAGCAAGTGGCAACTACTTATGCGTGCCTCTGACCTAATTTAAGAACAATGTTTAACCCTTTGGTACATAGCAGCAGCAACTCAGACACTGATAGCAGGTAAATATTAGCCTTAAAATAACTGCACCAAAAGTCAGATCCAGATTTTGCACTTAAAATGGCCACACAGTCAAAAAGGAAAAAATGTGTGTATGTGTGTACATGTATGTATGTATGTATGTATGTATGTATCAAATTCATGAAAGATACCTTATTCAATGAAAAGTTACGGCATTATATGTTGTATTTCTAAGAAACTAAATTTAGAAGCAAAAGAACCGGTTGCAATGTCTTATTCAAGGAAAAAAGTTACAGCAGAAAAAATGATATTTCTTAACAGCATATATGAATAAACCAGAAGCTAAAAAACCATAGAAGAGGAAATACCATGACCCAATTAGGTATCACTGCTCCTTCAATATTGTCACAGTATGGTAGATATGGTTTGATATCCAGTACAGGCTGTTAATAAAATTCATTCAAGAAGCAGAATTTATATTTATAGCTGTCAAGAAAACACATCAAACTGGGAAGAAGAAGATAAAGCCATCAATGTGAAGTAAGGAAATGAGAACTTACCGTTCCATCAACTAGATCCGCTCCAGAGAGTAGAAGCATATTTCCTTGCACTGCCTCCACCTAAAATATGAAGAGTATAATAGTTTTAAAGTGAATACACCTTTTCTAAAGGCATGTGTAAGGTTCTAACAACTTTTAGAATTTATGAACTTAAATATAAGAAAGACTTCACCTCCGCGTATAACTTGTTATTTTTACAGTGGTAGAAAAGACATTATGAAAAATGATAATTGGCAAAACAAGAACAATCACACACACACAGAGCTATGAAGGAAAGTGCAGTCACAGAGCTTGCAATTTTTGATTTCATGTATACCAGCATCGCTTTGCCATTATCCTCCATGATGATTCAGAAATTCACTTAAGGCAGACAGAAAGGTTGACATCCAAAGGTTGCTTTTGACAGAGATGCATTCTGCCAAACTGGATCAGAGATTCTTTAAATCATCACTACTATTACGGGCTAAAATAAACTTGCTTATTGCAGCATTTCTCATCCTTAAATATGAAAAACTATTCCCCTGGTGTGGCAATGCCAAAAGATCCATGTATCATATTTCTGAAATGATCTTCCCATAAGTATTCAGAACAAAATTTTCATCAGATATTAACTTCCAAAGTTTTAAACCCCACTTTACCCAGTTAAGTCAGATATCAGTCGAAAGACAACAGTTGGAGAACATGCTGTTGCATTAATAACATATCAATGCAGGATTCCATACCTTTGCTACAGTGAGTCCTATAGGACATGGTCGATGTGGAGATCGTGTAGCAAAAACTCCCATCCTTCCACCTTTCAATCTAGGAACTCTGACCTATTAAAGTGACCAACCTTCCATAGAAGTTTAACAATGATAAGAAATGATCATAAGTGATAGTAAATATGAATAACACAAGTTCCATGATCACAATGTCACAAACCTTGGCCTTAAACTTTGATTTAGATGGATGCTTCCATAACTTCTCCAGATCTGTATTTAAATGAAACACATATATAATCCAGCAATGAGAGTATTCTTCGAGACCCTCAAGAGATGCAGGAGGAACTCTAGCTGAATCAAAAACCAAACATGCCCTCGCTAGAGGGACAAGTAGAGGTTGCCTGGGGGTCCCATTCCTGCACAAATTATACATGGAATTTGGTCATTTAGCATTAATCAAGCACTATGCTTGAGTAACAACAGATAAATTAGTTGTAAGCATTGGTCTGAAAATTTACCCAGACAAGCATGAGTACTCCATAGCTTCTATTAAAAAAATAAACTTTTTTATTGACAAATCTCTGTCATCATGCTAGACTGCAGTTCAAGCACTTCTCCACAACTGTGGAATTAAAATAAAGAAAGCAAAGAAAAATATTTAACATGGTTGAAACAAGGGAAAGGAACCCAGATAATTACATTATGTCACTGGCTGTACAGTATCATTCACTTTTTCTACAAAAAACAATATTTTCATTGTTACCTTATAAAAATTTTCATAGCTGATCCTTCTCTATTTAAAGTTTTCTTTTTCGGCCAATATTTGAAGGTTTCTCTTTTGGGGACTGCTCTTTCAACTATTAGTTATTAAGAAAATAAACCCAACATGTTCACCCAACTAGTGGATTGATCCAACTTTGGCCCTCCTATGAGTTGATTGGGATCCAACTTTGGATTTACCTCTTGTCAACCATTCTGGCTTTGAGTCATGAAAATTTTCATTTTGCACAGTAAAATTAATTTTTATAACATGGCCTCTGTCGAGCGAGAAAACATTAGAGAAGAAAACTACAGAAAATAGCAACAATGGCAAAAAAAAAAAAGGTACTTGCAATCAAAGTTTATATTGGAAAAAATGGTTGATTTAGAAATTACTAGACAAAATGCCTTCTTAGAATCACCTTGTAGAAAAGCAAGATTGAATGATACCAATAGGTGCCATTGGATACGATGTCATTTCTGAATTCTCACACTTGGGTTGTGCTACTACTGCTTTCCTCAATGCCTACAAATATTTGTTTTTTCTTATAAGCAAATAATTTAAGAAAGGCAAATAACAGTACTATAAAGAATTAAAACAATAAGGAAGAAGAGAAGAAGGAAGAACCTGCTGAGCCCTAATGCGACCTTGTCTCTCTGCAGCACATTTTTCCAAAGAAGAATTAAGAGATTTTTGAAGCTCTTTCACCTTAGAATCTGATTCTACCCATTTTCTCCGATATATAAAAACTGAGAGAAGAAAGGTGAACATGCAGATACACATGAAATAAAGTTCAAGGTAACTATATAAAAAGAATAAAGAAGAAAAAAGGTAGGGAGAAAAGATACAGGAGATTGCTGAAGAAGCAGAAAACACTGCAGCAATTGCCAATGTTACGATCGAGTATGCGCTGCAGGCCATGGATTTGTACTTTTACTCTTTCATCAAAGTCTGAAGTTCGGTTTTAACATAACCAGTTGCTAGTCGGGTAGGGTTTTAGAAAAAATTTTCTTCTCTTTCCATGACATGACGTGGGATGGGTTGGGTATTTAACTGGGAACTTCACTTCGGGCTTGCGGGTCTTTGACTGGCCTGGGATAGTGGGAATTCCGTCCAAGCAGAGCTAGAGCTAGCTAGAAATCAAGCTTAGAATAATATGATCTCAACCCAAAAAAAACCAAGGCTCTTTGACTCATTTCCAGCCTACCATGCTACGAGTACTTGAGTTTACTTTAAAGCCCAAACACGACTGCCTAGACTGGGCCTATTCTACTACGCACTGTTACTCCGAGGTCTAATTACAGTATGATTATATGCTCTTGGTAAAGTAAACTCTTTCTTTCTTTGTCTCTCTCCTCTCTCGCCCTGCTGGAGTTTCCTACTACTGTAACTGTATTAGGTACTTTCTCTTTTCCCCAATTTTATGATAGCATCTAATCATACATTGGGGGCTACTCTTCTTCACAACCCTGTTCAGTTTTGTCTCTCTCATTCTATTCTTCACGTATATATAAATAGAAACATGTTTAGACATGCATCATTGTTGCTTTAAAAACCCAGTTCATGAAACTAAATAAGCCAAATGGATATGTGGAAATCAGCAGGAAACATTTTGTTGGTTTTCTTCTCCTTTTGTTGTTTTCAGTAATCAGTGTCACCCACTTTTCTGGATCTGCAACAAACTTCAACTCTTACCTTGATTTCTTAAAATTCCATTGTGATATAGATATGTCTGCATTCTTTGAGGTTGATGCTTGTTTTGTTCACATTATGATGTGATCGTGGCTCTTAAGAGTATAGACAAGATTTTTGTGCGAACCCCAGTTTTATTCTGCCATTTACCATAGGTGAAAAGTGTAAACCTTAGTCCCATTGTTTTAAGTTCTAACTCTATTAATCTCAAAAAAAAATTTTATTTTTTTCCATTGTTTTGACTAGCCTAATCCCACAGGAATAGAACAACTGTAAACTTCGTGATAAAATCATAAAGTTTGGACAAATTGATTTGTTGGTATTCTGTTATTGCTAGCGTTTCAGTGTGCACATGTTTGCTTAAGTGTATATTTTGGTAAGCATCAAGAAGACCTAAAGACATGCTGGAAAAACTATGCAGAAAATTTGCTAAGTTTATATGAAATTGTGGCTACTTGAAGCCCTGAGGATTTAAATATGAAGAAAGATTGTTGCACTCAGGGGCCGCTGACAGAGCAATTCACCTTTTCCGCTGGTTCTGCTCCCTTCAAAAGTTGCCATGCCTCTACTATTGTTGAGGTAATGCCTCTACCATTATTGAGATTAAATAAATCAGTTATTTTTGCGTGAGTGAGCATGGTTATGGTTTTATTCTGTAGTGTTCCTCTGTCAAAAGAACTTGGCTTGTTTATTGCTTCTATGCAATTTGTGCAGGTTGATAAAGGTCATTTTTTAGCTGCTTATTTTGGAGGTACCTCTGAAGGAGCACCTGATGTGAAAATTTGGTTGCAGAAATGCAAGGTAATTGTCTAGCAATTGCTGAACATGATATTGGTTCCTTCCCTGGAATTTTCCATGGTTTTATATGAGGATAACCAATATGTATGTTCAGCAGATGTAACTGTGATTATTTTTCTAGATGTTATTATAACTGTCATCTCTGTTAGCTCATCATCATCATCATCATCATCATCATCATTATTTAATATTGAGGTTCAACTTCAATCTAGTTATCTTAAGAAATTTGTGGGTTACTCTAGCATTTTAAGAAAGGCCTCTTAATGTACAAAAAGGGGAGTCATCTTACTGACCAAGTGAAAATAATATGGGAACGTTTGTTCTTCTTCCTTGTTTTCTGCCCCCATTTGTTTCCATTAGTTTTTTTCCTCATGATTATGCTATGGTCCTCAGAGCTTTCATCTTCTGCTTATATGAATTTCTGTGTGCATGAGCATGTGTTCTCATACATGTAGATTTGTATTCTCTCATTTTCCCTTTTCTCTGTAGCTACATTGAGCATATAATTAGGTGTACACATAAGACTAGGGAAAGGATGCCTCACCACCCTTGCGTCACTTCTTATGTCCATCGTTCTTCTGTCTTTTTTGCCTGCAGTCTTATTTGCCTTTCTATTGTCTAATCTGTCTGTACTTGTAAGGCAGGAATAGAACATAGAAAAGCCACCCTCACCTATTATTCTCTTTATAAACTCTAGTCATGTTTTGTTTTCTTCCACTTATACCTTAACATGTGTGCATGGATGTGTCTATGTGTGTGCATATTAGTGATATGATCCTCTTAGGATTTTAACAGAGTTGTTTTCACTTAAATGCATGAAAATTTATTTTGGCAGGATGGCTGCTGGTATCCACCTGTTATTATTGACGAAGAACCCAATGTCCCGATGTGGAATCCCGTGCTATTTAAACTTCCATCAGAAGAATTGTTGTTATTCTATAAAATAGGCCAGGAGGTTCAAAAGTAAATTTCTAGCCCTTTATGTTTTTCTGACAAATTCTTCTTTGTAATTATAATAGCCAGGTCTAACAATTGTTTTGCTTTTGCCTCCTTTATAGAACTTCTTCACTTATTCTGCAAAGTTGACTGTGTTTATTGCATTGTTAAGACTGAAATGCGCAACACAATTATAGAACATCACATCTACTGCAGAAGAGTCACTCAAAATGCAAATCTCTTCTTCATGAGTTCCAAATTTCAGCAGAAGGTCAACAACTGATGCCGCATGAACTATCACCAAATTGAAGGAATGAAAAGAATCCCCTCCTTCCAAGGAGAAAGAGAGAAAGACTTTAACACACAGCCCCAATTGCTCAAAAAGATCAGCTAAAATTGCTTATATCGTTATTGTTATTATAGTAAGAATGGTATAAGTAGAAATGTGCATTATAATTTATCCTTTCTTTTTTCCTTTAAAAACTTAACCAAACAAGGGATTTTGAGAATTCCTCCCTTTCCTTTCCCTTCCTCATTTTTACTATCCAAACAAAGCAAGCATCTTCCTTTTCCTTTCCTTTCCTTTCCTTTAGAAACCCCTCATTTCCTGTCCTTTACTAACTTCAATGCTAATATTATGGTGTAAAGGAAAGGAAATGACACGTTATAATGCAGTTTCCCTATCATACTCTTTCTTGCTATAATAGCCACGACAATATGGATGATAGCATTTCACTATAGAAAATTTGAAGGCTTTCGTAGACTATTTGCCATATGCCTGTTGAAGCCTTATAACTTTGGAACATGTCATACATGAAGTAAAGCTGGGTGCTCTTCTCTGTTCAGAAACATTATTCTATGCTTAGTCATTCCACTGCCTTGGATGCATATTAAGTCCTAAAACCTTAAAAAGGCTTCAATGTTTACATGATGAGGCTTTACTAGCAATTGAATCTTTAAGAGCGCACCTTCATACATTGAGTGGATTTAAAGTCAATTGAGGCAAACTGTTTTTGCCTTACAGCACACATTAAAGGTAAATAAAGCACCTTTTAAGATACAGAAATTAGAAGGTTACCACCCTTGTTAGTTCTCTTTTCTTTTGCAGTTGTTTGTCAAAATAGATTTCGTATTAGATAGTTTTAGAACTGCTATTTTTTCAGATGCATATTCTGTTTTAGTTATGTTAGTAATTTTCTGCTGTAGTTTAAGGTTAACCTGTGATAAGGATTAAAGTGCCTCAATTCTAATATTTGTTTTTTGACTTTGTAGCAAAAATATGTTAAGAATAGACTGCAGTTCTGTTTATATCCTTGAAATTTTCGAATAGGCTACCCTTAAATTGTGTTTTATCCTTCATTAGTCCACACTGTTATATTTCTTTTGTCAATAAAGTTTAGCTTGGAGACTCTAAGATCTTCAGGATCTGAGTATGTCTCAGGAAATGGTTAAGCAAAGATGCTACTTGGCTTTAACTCAGGCAGTAGGGATTTGGATAGAGATTTTAGGTTCAAGCTGTAAATGCTCTCTGTTTCTACCAAAAAGATAATAGTAGCAAAAGAAAAAGAAATATGACAGAGCATTCTGAAGTTATTTGTCCTGTCTGTATGTTATTATTATATGTGAATTTGTTATAATAATATACATCCTGCTTACCTTCTCTAACTGTTGACCTTAATTAAATACAGGTGGAGTGGATGCATGAAGCGGTCATATGATAAAGGTGTTACTTGGACAAAGAGAGAGCAACTTCCTCCTGGCATACTAGGACCTTCTAAAAACAAGGTGTGACTAGAATTTGTTATTAAATTTACATATATTTTACTATATTCTCAACCATGAAGCTCTGATAACATCTCCTGATCATGTGTGTATTCACTCATCCGCAGCCTATTTTGATGGAAAATGGCCTTTTGCTCTGTGGATCATCTGTAGAGAGTTGGAATTCTTGGGGGGCATGGGTTGAGGTTGTGATGCTGACTCATCTACATCAGCTGTTGGACTCTAATGATGTTTGAAAATGCAGTTGACATATTTGATGATTTACGTCGACAGGTTACAGCAGATTCTGGTATGTCTTGGAAGAAGTATGGCCCCATTATTGTTAAAAATAAATCTCTCAGTGTGATTCAACCAGTTCCTTACCTTACTGCAAAAGGAACATTGCGTCTTTTGTTGCGATCTTTTGATGGCATAGGTAAAGTTTGTATGTCAGAATCCATTGATGGTGGTCATAACTGGGATTTTGCAAAACCTACTGAGCTTCCCAACCCAAACTCAGGTTGGTGGGCTAATCCCTTTTTCTTGGATGGCATCCAACAGAAAGAAAATTTATATTTACTGTGATGGTTCCATGTAGACTGTATGGAATCTATAACTTAGCTATGCATCATTTAAAATTATTAATTTAGTTTTGACTTGTTTTCTCATCTTCAAGAATTGCATTTCCTTGATTTAAATTAGTTAATGGCTAATGCTATGTAAAATGGAAAGAAAAATTTTGCCTATTACCTTCAAATTTCCCCTACTAGCTTATACCATGAGCTTCAATTTTTAGGTATTGATGGGGTTAAGCTGAGGGATGGTCATGTCTTACTTGCTTACAATACAATCTCAAGGGGCGTGCTTAAAGTTGCACTCTCCACAGATGATGGTGATTCATGGCATGAAGCTTTGACACTGGATGAGAATTTGGAAATGGAATTCTCTTATCCTGCTGTTATCGAGGCTAGTGATGGATCTGTTCACATCACGTACACGTATAATAGGACACAGATTAAGGTAACGGCATTGTTTCTGGGACTGGGAATGAATTGGTTCTCAATTCCTTCCC